TCATATCTATAAGTTGCTTATCACTTTTTATTTTAAGTATGTGCTAGATTATTTAGCATAAGTTATGCTAATAGCATATTAGGCAAAAGTAAATCAAGTAAGTTGAAAAAATATCGAAAGCTGAGTGATAAGTATTTTTGATTTTTACTTTTGAATTATTAACTTTTAATTTACAATAAATATCACCAAGGCCTGGGAAGTTCTTTGATCAGTGTAGTTGGTCGTCGTGATGTAGGGCTGATTTAAAGTAGTTGTTTTAAGATGCAGTTTGCCCATAATGCAGAGTAACCCAACCCCAAATTTCATTTGTTGTATTGTTACGACAGATTTACTGTATTGTACAAAACGTAACAACCTTGTCGTCCTCTTAAAACCACCCCACACCACACAACACACATGAAAAGAATTATCTCCCTCTTACTTCCTAGAGAGAGAAACATAATAATAAACAGAAATAGTTTTAGAGAGGGAAAGTCATGGAAGAAATGAACGGCAACCACATGCACGCCATGACCGGTGATCCCTACATGCATCGCGGCCGCAAAATGATGAAAAATTTTAAAAATATTAGGCATAAATAGTGTATTACATGACAATATTACGGGACTATTTGACATAACCTAAAAAAATATACTTTTTATGTTTTTTTCAGTCACACCACATCATTACTTTTCTGTATATTTTTTAGTAAAATCTTAAAAAATACACTTACTTAGCTCATCTTAAACACTCTTTATGTGATATTCCAAACCAATCAAAATCTCAAGGTATCACATTAGAATACCCTGGCGGTACCCAATAATTACTCGCAAAAAATTACTACTTTAGAATGGAAGTAAAGGTTTTTTTTAGAGGGGCGAAAAAATGGAAGAAAAGTTGAAATGGGCTAAAGTTTATGGACTAGATAGGCTTATGATGTTGGTCCTTTTTAGTGCTAACAAATGGGCTTGTCGTATGAGTATTGAGTAGTTGGTAAGGAACTCCATGCAACTATAGGCACATCATTGTCATCATATGTATAATTTGAGTACTTGCCTAAAAGTTAATTTTTAGTTTTTTGATCTATTTTTGGTCACATCATATTTTTATTTTTTTACATATTTTTTTAAAAAAAAGTTTATAAAAGCTAAAAAAAATCAACTTTTAACTAAATTCCCAAAACATACAAAATTATGTGCTCTTTGACAAAATATACAAATAAAAAATTATGTGGCACAACAGAGAACTTTCAGTTTAAAACAAAACTCCAATAAAGATAACTTATATTTACAACAATATTATTGTTATATCATTTTTATAGTCCTTTTTGTAAGCCAATTTTTTTTTTTTTTTTAAAAAAAAGAGATTTATAAATAAATACCTCAAAACAGAGTATAGTCTCACTTTTAAAAATGGTAAAGAATAATACTTTTATAAACAAAGAAAAAAAAATTGTATCAAGGGTATTTTTTTTTTTTTGGGAGCTAATGAATAATACTTTTATAAACAAGGAAAAAAAAATTGTATCAAGGGTATTTTTTTTTTTTGGGAGCTAATTTCACTTTGATCTCCTAGGTTGTTGCTATTTTTTTTTTTTTTTTTATATCACTCAACTATCAATTTTATTGATTTGAACAATTGTTTCTAATTAAAGTATATGAATTGAAATTAAAAATTTTAAAAATTAAATAAATAAAATTAAAAAAAAAACAATAGTTTAAGAAATTAAAGTCTAATTATTTATTCTCCCTAGGTGGGAATGTTGATAAGCCCAAGGAACGGAACGTATGATTCCTGGGACAACCAAAAAGTTGGGAGGACTATTAGACCATCTCCAACAGTGAATTAAAGTTGGCATCAGATTCAAAATTTGGTGAAAAAAGCACTTTTTGGTGCTCCAACCGTTGCACCAAATTGATATCAAAATGAGAATTTAGCAAAAAAAGCATCAAACTGAGAACAAGGTAGAGATTTTACCAAATCACTGTTCCTGACCGTTGGAAAAGCTGCACTGGTCAACCAGCCGGCTGCTTGGCCGGTTGACCAACCGGTCAACCGGTTCCCTTTCAGATAACTAGGTTCAAACAAGTCAAAAGGTTCAAACAAATTTAAAAAAAATAAATTAAATCTTACCGGTCAACCGGCCGGTTGATCGACCGGTTGACCAATTGGTCGACCCTTCAAATTGAGGCTGAATCAAAGAAACAGCTTGAGCTAATACTAGTGTTACACTATATTCATTCAATTTCCTTGAAAGTAGGGCCCACAGAGAACATCTGCAAAAATGAGGACCAGGAGGAATCATCTTGATACCCTTGAAAGCAGGGCCCACAGAGAACATCTGCAAAAATGAAAATTGAACAATTACGCAGACGATTGAGTTTTGTCTATTTGTCAAGTTTTCTGACTTAGGCATCGGAGAGGTTTCCGGCACACACCCGCCGGCTAGCTCACGTTTGTGTTTTCAGGTGACAAAGCGACGTCGTACGGAGGAGCGTGGACTTGGTCAACAGGATTATACGAGGAGAATTATTTCCTCCCCGTACAACGGCCTTATCGGTTGACCAACCAATCGACCCTCCCCTTTTGATGCTCACCGTTGGATCAAGCCATATCAAATTGGGAAAATAGTGATTTTTTACTCAAATTTGATGAAAAGTTTGGTGAACCGTTAGAGATGCTCTTAAGGCAAGTTGACGTGGCGTTTTAATTTGTTTGCAGCGATGCTAGAGACGTAAAATGAATTATCAAATATTTTATTAATTTTTTTTATATAAATGTAGGATTCATATGTATGTGATTTGTGTAAATTCCTTATCCATATAAAAAATTTAATAAAATATTTAATAATTCATTCAAAGTCTATAATATTTTTCATTTATTTGTTATTTGTTGAATTAATGAGATCTATGTCTCTTTTTTAGAGATAATGAGATATTTATTTCTTAATAAATGGTGTAGAACAATGGTCAAAAACCATCCAATAGCTTCTCAACACGAGGAAACTTTATTTCCACATATGGCAATTTCTTGGAAATTTATCAAAGAAATGACAAGTCAGACCCCATTTGTCACGTTGGAAAATTTCAATGGAATTGTGGTCCCCTCAATCACGATAGTGGGTAAAAATCAAACAACCCCACCATATACGGTTTTACCAACTGAAAAATTATCACATGTACTCGGAATATCATATATTTTGATAAGGTCCAGTTTACCTATAGTTGAGGATTAAGATTGGACCGTCCAGTCTACTTTTGTGGACCTACTTTTGGATTCCGCTTCGATAATTCAAACGGTTACAGTTTTAGGATTCGTCGAATATATTATTTCTATAAAAAATCAAGTTGACCAGATAACTGTAACTACGTGTTTGAATCAGTTTTATATAATAATAAAAAAAATGAACGGTGAAAAAATAAACAATTCATATAAAACTGATTTGAATACATAGTTGCCGTTAGTCGATCAACTTGATTTTTTATATGGATGATGTATTCGACGAATCTTAAAATGTACACGGTTCGGATCATCAAAGCGTGGGCCCAAAAGTGGTCCCACAAAGTGGACTGGACAGTCCAGTCTTGATCTCAAATTGGAGACAAGCTAGAACATCACTATTTTCACTTGATTATATTTTAAATATATTCTTTTTTTGCTTCAAATAAATTAATATTCTTGAAATTTTAGTTTTTTTTTTAAGAGTATATTTTGTGTGAAAGAGTGTTAATGTAATTATGTATAATAAATGACAAAGAATAGAATGTATTTAGAACAGAGTGGAGTGAAAATAGCAACTCCTTATATTTTTGGAGAAATGTGCGATATTATTATAAATAGCAGTATTACATTTACACAATTTTCTCCTCACAAACTCTCCTGAATGACGTGACAATGTTGACGTGACAATGTTGACTGGGCGATTTTGAAAAAAGAAAAGAGTGTAGAAGCGTAAGTCATTAATTTGCCTTTTTTTTTTCTTTTTTTTTTTATCACATTGTTCGGGGGCTTTGTGAAAGAAAAATTATGTGTATAAAATATTTTTCAATTATAAATTTACAAATTTATTTATAATTATGTGACAAGGGAGTTAGATTTATATATGACATTATTGTGGGTTAGATGGGAGAAATTTTTCTTAAGAATCTCAAGCATTTTCCATATTATTATTTATAATCATAATACATATTAAATTATACATACTTTATTTTACTTAATAAATGTGAGTCACTTATAAAATTTTAAAAAATATTTGAGACTTAAAAAAAATAATAATAATAATTTATCATTCACATAATTAAAACTCAACTTCTTTGTTACATTATTCTCTACAACTTTTGGTTATGAGATTGATTTGAAACATCACTTTAAACAATATCAACTAAAAGCTGTTTGGTACATCATATCTAAGTTGCTTATTACTTTTTATTTTAAGCCTCCGTTTGGCAAGAGCTAAACGGGGCTTTTTTGGCTATTTTAGCCACAAAAAACAAAACATCACATCCAACCCATAATCATTACATTCTTCTCTCACAAAAAAAATCAAAAAAGCCAAAAAGCCAAAAAGCCCTTCCCAAACCAAACTTTTTAGCCCAGGCTAAAATAGCTAAAAAAGCCAAAAAGCCAAAAAACCAACCCACTTCCCAAACGGAGGCTAAGTATGTGCCAAATTATTTAGCATAAGTTATGCTATAGCATATTAGGCAAAAGTAAATCAAATAAATTGAAAAAATATTGAAAGCTGGGCGGAAAAATATTTTTGATTTCTACTTTTGAATTATTAATTTTTAATTTACAATAAATAGCACCAAGGTCTTCCGGGAATAACCTACGAAATTCTTTGATCAGTGTAGTTGGTGGTCATGGTGTAGGGCTGATTCAAAGTAGTTGTATTAAGTTGCACTTTGCCCGTAATGCAGAGTAACCCAACCCCAAATTTCATCTGTTGCATTGTACTACGAAAGTTTTACTGTACTGTACGACCGTAACAACCTCGTCGTCTTCTTAAAACCACCCCACACCACACAACACACATGAAATGAATTATCTCCCTCTTTCTTCCTAGAGAGAGAAACATAGTAATAAACAGAAACAGTTTTAGAGAGGGAAAGTCATGGAAGAAATGAACGGCGACCACATGCACGGCATGACCGGTGATCCCTACATGCACCGCGGCCGCAAAATGATGATGATGCACATGACCTTCTTCTGGGGCACGGATTCCGAGATCCTCTTCTCGGGTTGGCCCGGATCCCACTCGGGCATGTACGCCTTGGCTCTGCTTCTCGTCCTCTTCCTCGCCCTCCTCGTCGAGTGGCTCTCTCACTGCAGACTCCTCGCAGGGGACCGGGACGGGTCGAACCGAGTTGCGGCCGGGCTGACCCGGACACTGGTTCACGTATTGCGGGTCGGGCTGGCGTATATGGTGATGCTGGCGGTGATGTCGTTTAACGTTGGGGTGTTCCTGGCTGCTGTAGGTGGGCACGCTTTGGGGTTCTTTTTGTTTGGGAGTAGGGTTTTGAAGAAGCCATCACAGCCGTCGGATTCTGGGAAGACCTCGGATGTTCCGACGATGAGTTGCTGATGATGATGATTGGATGAAGATGTGAGTGAGTTGTGTTTTTTTTGTGGTTTTTAGTTTCAAATGTTGTAATAATTTTTGCTGCAATTAGGGCTAGGGTGTGTGGTCGTGGATGTGTGTTTAGGATCATGCTATGAAAGTGGTTAAAATTATGGATTTATTAATAATATATATATATTTTTGTGGTTGTAGGGTGTGTGGTCGTGGATGTGTGTTTAGGATCATGCTATGAAAGTGGTTAAAATTATGGATTTATTAATAATATATATATATATATTTTTTTTTGTGGTTGGGAAAGTAGTTTTATAATGGATACATATATCATTTTCGATATTGATATTATTAGAGTAAGAAAATTCTTATCAAAACTCTCAAAAATTTAAAGGGTTTGGATAATCTATTAATGGATAAATTACGGATATACTTTTTGAGATTTGTTTAAAATATTAATTATTTATTATAATTTAAAAAATTATAAATAGTTTTAGAATTTTTTATATAACAAAATTTGTTGTTTTATTTTAATATCTTTTATTTATTTATTGGTATATCTTGTTCATAAATGGAGTTTTATTACTTTAGTAACCTCCTATCTTGTTCATGAACGATGTTTCATTACTTTGGTAACCTCCTATCTTGTTCATGAATAGAGAGTAATTAGAATTCATGAATTTGGTGGTGAGTTAGTTTTTGGAGTTACTCTGTTTTCTCTAGTTTAATAATCATCTTTATTTTTGGTGTAATTTGTAAGGTCCTAGTGCCTATAAATAGTCCATCTCATCTACTTTTTTCTACATAAACAAACACCAACTATTTTCTATACAAGAAAGATTACTAGCAAAGAATGACGTTTTTCTTGGTCGAGTTTTGGGTTCACCATCTTGTGTAGAGTTGGCCTGAAACATATGACAAGTGGTCGGGCTGTTGTATCATGGAGGGGACAAGTCATAATTTTGTGACTGCTGCATCGATATTTGGGTTCTTCCTACCGCAGTGGGATTGATCTCCTTAAAATTATTGGTAAAAATACCAAAAAAATTATATTTTATTGATAAATGATGCAAAGAAAACGAGATATTTGTGCCCCAGCCTGATCTATTTGTATCTCATTTTCTTTGCATTATTTATCAATAAAATATAATTTTTTTTGGTATTTTCGCCAACAAAATTAATTAAAAAAATAATTGTTCTCTTATACAATAGTTAAATTATTAATTGAAATATATTTCTAATATCATTAAAAATTGTTAATTGATTTGATAATTTATTAATAAAAGAGACAATTTTTTATGAAATTAAAAATTTCAGGGATGAAATGTAATTTTAAAAATTAAAGAAGCCAATTCGTATCTTAATTAAATTTCAAAGGGTGTATTTGTAATTTATCATAAATTAATGGATAAAACTAAAATGTGTAATTCAATGTGATGTTTATCATTGGATTTAGTAATGAGTGCTGCTATTAGCATCTGTCAAAATTCTTTAGACCCCCCATTTTATAATTTTTTTTATTACAATTATACCCTAAAGTAAAATTATATTAAAAGACATTATTAAATGGAACACCCACCTATCAATAAGAACTAATACTCTATAATATTGGACACCCACCCCCACCTCCACCTCTAACTCTAACTCCAACTCCAACTATATGTATTACATGTTTGTAAACCGTAAGCCTATTACTTTTCATAACCAACTAATATAAACCCTAAATCTATTATTTTTTATAATCATCTTAAATCCTGAATGTGTCATCTTCATCACCATCATCAACGCTATTGAACTTGAAAGTTTTGCTTCAAGTATAACGTATACTTCATCACTTATTTCACTGTGTAGAGCAATGAAGGACGAGGTCAACAATTATAGTGAGACCGGCGTTCCATGAATAAGTTTATCTGTCTTGTATTAACATTCTCGGTCATTTTCGGTCGTTCTTGTTTTGTTCAAGCTGTTCGGTACTGGTTTGCTGACTGTTAGAATTATGTTCGGTAATACAGTACTGAACATAATCCTTTCGTTCAAGACATAGGTTCCGAACATTAATGCAGATAGTCAGTTATGTAATTTTCTTTGTTAAACTAACTTAGAATGGAAAAGAGTGAATTGGAATGGATTTAAGTTATGTATTTTGAATGGATTTAATTCATATTATTTTAAGTTGTGAATTTGAATGGATTCAAGTTACACAGTGATGAACAAATTTTGTTCGGACATACAGTGCTGACAGGATCATTATTGTTCGACAAAACAGTTCTGAACAAAATACATTTTTTCGACTACACAGTGGTGAACAAATTATTTTGGGCTACATTCAGAATTTTGATGATGATGGATTCTTTTGGAAGCGCCGATATAGAAACAATAGGCGTTCAACATCGCCCACTGTACGCTCATCTTGATGATGATGATGATGAATGTGATTGAATTTTTTTTATAGGTTTTGATAATAATGGCACACTAAGAATTCGCATATCTGGACTAAAAATTGAACAAGTAGACGATGATGATGAACAGGCCATGGCCATGGCTATTATGTCTTCTTTTCTTTCAGTCACTGTGAACCACCCAACATGCAATAACATCCGAGTATCATCTGTTTTCTTCTTTTCTTTTCATTAGGGTTGTTTTAGGAATTGAATGAAAAATTAGGTGAGTGTGCATTTCATTGTGAAAATGTTATGAATATAGGTAGATTTGGTAATAAGTGGGGTGTCTAAAAAAATATTATTAAAATTTAAGATTTAAGGTTGGGGTCCAAAGAAATGGGGGGTCCAAAGAATTTTGTTAGGTGCTATTAGCAGCACTCTTTAGTAATAGTACCGGACCCTCATTATTTGTCAATACTACTTAACTAATCATCATTTATTATATTCTCTTATATTCTTTAATCATTTGATATAATATTTCACCTATAATTAGTGTACTAACTAGTATATCAATTGATGATGTGATATAATTTAAGAGATTTCTGGTATTTATAATGTGATTAATGAGTGAAATCAATAATAATGTCATAACTAATGTGGTACATTAGTTAGTACACTAGTTAAAGTTAATTTGTATTTAAAACTAAATAGAAAACACTATAATAACTGTTACGTAACCTAAAAAATATATTATTATATTAGAATTTAAATTTATGTTAAAGTTGTGAGTTATATATATAAAAATATTTTCATATTACTTACCTATGAAGACGTCATTTTTTGTTTAATTTTTAATAAAATTGAATTTTAGGAATAAATTAGAAAAAAAATTTAAAACATAAAAAGTCATAATAAAAAAATTAAATTTTAAAAATTAAAGTAAAAAAGTGATCAAATATAAATAGATAAATATAATTTCGGAAGTTTACTTTTTGTTGACAATCTGAATTAATTTTTTGTATTGATTATAAATTTTGGACAAAATTTTTTATATTTTTGGAGCGTAGAGCTACTGAGGAAAAAAAATGGGATCACAATTTTGTGTTGAAATATGAGCAGTAAGCCAAAGCTGAATTGATTATGACTGGTTGGGCTAGAATCACATGAGACTAAACTAGAGGAGTACATAATTACTCAGAAAAGTTAATGGGCTTCCTTCAACAGCAAAGTGCAAACAAAAAATTATAAAATAAAAGGAAAATGAGTTAGACCCGTTCAAGGAGGCACCCCTTTGACTCTCTCTCTCTTTGATTGGTTAATTTTTTTTTTTTCCTTCTCCTCTAATCACCATTCACCACGTGTGTGTGGAGTAATAGGATAATGATCGGAAGGGTCTCAATCACATTCCAAAATAAAAAATAAAAAAATGAAAAGTAAAAACATAGCAGTATGCCTTTTGTCAACAGTTCTATTTCTATATCAAAAGCACTAGACTCCTATGACCCCACAGATAGGTGAAAGAGAGGAGAGAGAATATATATATATATATATATAACAAGTAGTCATTAATAGAGATGGTAATTTGAATCCGGTTCGACGGAGACTCGATCTCCCGATCTCGATTATGATGGTTTTTTTTCGAAAAATATCTCCATGGGGACGGGGTGGTATTCAAAATTAAATCCCCGACTAGTTTCGGGCCAGGGACGGTGATCAGTGTTCAAGCCCCGGCCCGTCCCCGTCCCTGACCCGGAAATTCCCCAAAGTAAAATTACTATTTTACCCCCTCTTTATATAGACATATAAACTTCCCTTTCCCTTACAACACTGTGCACCTCCTCACACACTCATCACTGCACTGTCTCTCATCTCTCTCTCTCTCAAACCCTCCTCCTCTCCCTCCTCTACCGATCTCTCTCCTCTCCCTCCTCCACCGATAGCCCTCCTCTCCCTCCTTCGCCGATCTCCCTCCTCTACCGATTGAGCCACCACAACTCCACCACTGTTTGCGGCAGTCTGACAACTCCACCACTGTTTTCCTCTCTCTCTCTCTATTCTATTTGTTATATATATATATATATTAGATTTGTTATATATATATATATGTTAGATCTGATTTTTTTTTTTTTAGCTCATCAGATTGTTGTTGTTGTTGATGTTAGATCTGATTGTTGTTGTTGTTGAAGAAATTATGGAACTGATTTTTTTTTTTTTTATATATATATATATATATATATTAGATTTGTTATATATACATATATGTTAGATCTGATTTTTTTTTTTTAGCTCATCAGATTGTTGTTGTTGTTGATGTTAGATTTGACTTTTTTTTAAAGCTTATCAAATTGTTGTTGATGTTAGATCTGATTGTTGTTGTTGTTGAAGAAATTATGGAATTGAAATTTTTTTTTTTCTTTTGGTCGGGGACTTTTTGGGGTCGGGGAAACCCGATCGCCGTTAGGGCGTTAAAGGGCGGGGGCAGTGATAAGCTCCCCGTCGGGGTCGGGACCGGGGACCGGGGGGGAGTTTCCACCATCGGAGATCGGGGACGGGGAGGGTGATCCCCAACCCAGCCCCGCCTCGCCCCGTTGCCATTCCTAGTCATTAATCAATTAGAGATTGTAAAGGTCACAAAGTTTGGAGGTCTTAGGGTCCGTTTGGCAATGAGATTTAGGATTATTTTAGTCACAAAAGACAAAATAAATTATTTTAGTCACAACAAACAAAATATTACATCTAATACATAAACATTACACTTTTCTCTCACAAAAAAAGTCAAAAAAGTCAAAAAATCCTTCCAAAACTAAGCTTTTTAGC